TTATCGAAGTGGAAGTCATATTTTATCATCTTTAATACCCCATTTCGGATTTATTGTTAATTGGCTGGCCAAAGTAAAATAAGGATGAAAGTGAGAGGTTGCTAATGAAAAGAAAATGAGGGAAAAGCATTTTGGTTTTGTTTTTGTGTAGCAAAACTGTAATCAGAGGATGTAAGAAATGTCAACGAAAACACTAACAGCCGGTGTGAACAGCCTTCAGCGCCGTCCTGGGCGTTGACATTTGTGTACCACAAGTAAACAAAGAATGAAGCGAAAAGAAGAACGAGTTGAAACTACCAAAGCAGTTCACTTTAAAGCGAAAAACGTGTTTTAATTTTGCTAAATGTGAAAATATTGAATTTTTCACCTAATCTATTAGAGAACAGTGAACATTTTAGTGTACTCCATTGCTTTGCAATTAAGGCTGCAGCAGCATCTCTGCGGGATTGATTAGTTAACTTGCTAATGCAGGCTGCGTGGAGCAGAAACAAAACCATTGTGAGGAAATGCTGTTAATATAATAATAGAGAAACATTTCGGGAACGACTTTGCCGTGCCCTATGTACACAAAATGCAGCGATTCGTCCCAGCGCTACACTTGCATCTACGCTTCTTGCATCTTGACGGCTGTCGCAATTTATCACACAGCACTTCATTGTATTCGTTTTTACTCAGTCCTCAACTCAAAAATCACTCACTAATTGCAAATTAAAACAATTTAAACTGATTTTTCACTTATAATTAAAATTTCTCTTTCGATGATTTGTAAACAAAGGTTTATTTACAAGTTACCACAACTGTCAAAATCGGCAAAACCAAAGTAGCGGCACCACTGACGGCGCCACCTTTGTTCGCTGCATCGGGCTCGACCACAATAGGTTCATTCCCTATCTTTTTGGACTAAAATCTGAAAAGTGTCAAAATGCCAGAGCGTAAGCAAAATGCGCTCACTAAAAGAGAATAACAGGAAAAGTAAAGGAACGCAAAAAACCAAATATTTAGTCCAAAGAATGGCAACAACAAAGCTAACGTCAAATAAGAATGTAAATGTATGTATGTACAAAACACCTTCACACAAGCACAAGCTCAATAAACACTTTCTATATCAATTATTTTTTGCCTCCTTCCAATTTCAATTCACTTTTTTTACTTTTTAGATTATTCTCACTTTTTGCGTATTCTTTAATTTCCGTTAATTTAAATTCAGTCGAGTTTGACACTTTTCAGGATTTTGCCAGAAAAAATTCTTCTGACTAAATCTGACTACTTCGGACTGATGAGAGTCACTTTCACCGAGTGTTGCTCTCTCATTTTTACTGTCATTTCCGAGTTAAGGAACGCTTTTTGGACTAAATCTGACTACATCGGACTTTTTCTGACTATTTCTGGGAGATAAGGAACGCTCCTATTATAACCAGTAAACAACCTTGGGTGAATTTGTCGACTGCCCTCCTCGGGGATGAATATGCCAGGAATGAAATTATTGGTACACACGCCTTCAAAGCACGCAGGGTTGCTTTTGAGAAACAAAAAATAGTTAGCTCAAAATAGTTTCAAAAAAATATAGTGTAAAACGAAAATTATTAAATAATTCTACATTAAATTATATACGTAAATGACTCACTATGTAAACTATTGGAATACAACTTGTTTCATTACCTTTTTTGTGCAAAATGATAATCAGCCTCATTGCGTAAGTCGTAAACTAGGCTAAATTGTACGACTCGACAACATTGGCATTGTTTACTGTCGTGCTGAAATAAGTAAATGACGAAAATCGTGGAAAACTATACAGTGCTGTCAAGTTTTTCCGTTTTAATACACTAGTCGAATGGAAATTTTAGGCAATGACGTGCAATTTGCGATACGATTCGACTCTCGAAAAACGACTTGCATACGACACCACTCTCGCAATGAGGGTGAATGACTATCTGAACGCTCGGAGCGCTGCCACTAAAATGGGAAACTACAGAAAAAATACTGCTCTGGTGGTACTTGTGCCGTGGCATGATGCAATAATACAAGGAGGTATCAATTGTGACAGCTCGATTTGACACTGCCTTAGCCCAGTAGAACGAGAAGAAATTAAGCCCCATTTAGGGGAAAATATAAAATTTCTCATTTTTTCCTGAACAAAATTTGCTTTTTTATAGAATATTTGTAATGATATAAAATAAAATAAGATAAAATACCATTTTAAGAAAAAAATGTGTATACTGAGAAAAAATAAAAAAATATTCAGCTATTTTATTAGGCAAAGAATTGTCAAAGAAGTAACACTGTCTCACCTAAGGCAGTCAATATGGCGGAATTAGAGCGAGAAGTTGCCAACTGATAACACCTGTATTATTGCATCATGGTGCCGTGGTGAATATATATTCACTATGAATAATACTACTAGTTTAAAGGAAAATCACTTTTTTTCTTATTGGCTGCGTTTCTTTATACATTCCGGATGATCCCATTTCACAGCCGGAACAAACAATACGTTTGAAATATACGTTAACATATCATCAGGAACATTCTAAAGAATAAGTAAACAAAAAAGTTTATTCCAAAAGTTCAGAATGAATAAAGAAATGCAGCCAATGTTTAAAGTCTTAAAATTTTATATGTAGATATTTATAAGTTTTATTTGGTTGCTCTTATAAAGGAAATACAACCCGGCATTTCTTTGCACACGCTGCCCCTAAATCACACAAAAACATTGCGCAATATGGGGATTGCGTTGTTGTTGTTGTAGCGTCTACAACAACCCCGCTCATATCGGTTAATATCTCAGTCGCTGGTCAGCGTCGGTCCACAAAGACAAAAGCGTTAGGGTTGTCGGATTTTCCGGGCATACGAAGAGATGTTTCGAGTCATGGAGTGTCTCTCCGCATGCTGGACACTCATTTGGCATATCTGCGCAACGTTTCTTTGTCTTTGCCCCAAGTACTGCCGGCTAGCGACTTGAGGACCTTGCGGCTCTGTACTTTGTTGACAGTAGCGGTTGCGTCCGCAGAGAAGGAGAGCAGACTGGCGAAGGTGATTCCGAGTATTTTGGGGTTCTTCACCGTCGGAATAGGGGTATCATTGACGTGAATTCCCAGTGGTAGCCTGACCTCCTTCGTCCAGGTGGTCAACAAGGTCGCAGAGGATTTTGTAGGAGAGAGGGTTAGGCTCCTTGCAGTGAAGAAGCGAGAAGGCTCGGAGAGATACCCGTTTACTTTCGAACACAAGTTATCAATTCCATTCCCAGACGCCATGATCAAGCAATCGTCGGCGTAGGAGACAATTGGAACTCTCTCTGGGGGTTGAGGAAGCTTTGAAATGTAAAAGTTAAACAGTAGTGGGGAGAGGACACCACCCTTGCTCGATTTGTCTCTAAACATTACCGACGAGTGTCGACCACTCAGATAATTCGCCGACCACCGTTTGAGCCTCTGTGGGAGAGAGGAGGCCTCTATATCTTCTAGTAGCTTGGAGTGGCTGACGGTGTCAAACGCCTTTGACAGGTTCAACGCTACTAGAATAGTTCTCTCACAGGGACGGTTGCGGTTAAGGCCATGGGTTATCCGAGTGCTTATGGCGTTAAGTGCTGTTGTTGTACTGTGCCCTTAACGGAAACCATGCTGATGCTTCGCTGGGGTCAGGTGGTTTGTGAAATACGGAGGCCTCTAGAGTTTTCGGGGCGATAAGTAAGATTCTCCTTTGTTGTCTGGTTTCCCCGGTTTGAGCAGTGGGACCACTCTCCCCACTTTCCAGATGTCATTGACATATTGAGGACCTCCGTTAGGTACGCTACTCCCACAGGACCCAGATTTTTCAGCATCAACATGCATATTCCGTCGGGACCCGTGGCTTTGGAGGCTTTCGCCTTATCGATGGCCACCTGAACTTCAGCGCTGGTGAAAGCAAGGGGGACACAAGTTGTTGGCAGTTTGTGCAGCCTTCTGGTCACTCGACGCTTGGCTTTGTCCGCCGGAGGATGCAGTATGAACTGTCGGCTAAAATAGCTCGCGCATCGCTCCGGGTCCGACGAAGCATGGTCGCCGAAATAAATTTCGACCCTGTCGTCGCGCTTCGTCGGCTAGAACAGCCGCTTCAGCAGGGAAGTTTGGACAGGGTCCGTGATGCATCCTGTCGGTACGAAGCGAGCTGCAGCAGCAGTGACATTTTTTCATATATTGATATTTTTAGCCATTCAACTTTTTCTTCGTGCAACCCTGCGTTGAGTAGAGCGCAAAGATGAACAATGCAAACACTGCTTTACGCGCACCGAGGTGGACGTCGGTTGATGTGGGGAGCGCAGCGAAGGTGCTCCCAGTAAATTCCGCGAAGCCTTTCCAATCAGCTTTAGAAAAGTTGATATAGGTCCGGTGTTCCGCGGAAACAAAGTCGGTTGGTTTATCGATTGAGATGACTATGGACAGATGGTCTGATGCTAAAGTCAGCATAGGTCGTCATGATACTTTGTTTATCATACCAGCGCTGACTATTGTTATGTCTGGCGAGCTGCAGCAACTGCCCATAATCCTGGTGGGTGCGTCGTCGTTCATTGTGCAGAATGTCGAATCGTCTATATGCTCAGCCAAGTCTGTTCCCCTACGATCGTTTGACAGGCTTCAATGCCAAAGATCGTGGTGCGCATTAAAGTCATCTACTACCATACGGTTTTCATCTCTGAGGAGCACAGCTATCCTGATATCCTGCAGGGAAGCAAGTCACAGGTGATATGTAAACGTTAAATATCTCGAGCTCAACATCGCCTGACCGGATAGCAATGCCCTGACATTCTAGGGTGGTATCCCTGCGGTCGATGTCTGCTTCAATAAAACGATACAGCAGGATGTGGTGCGTGATGAATGCTAAGCCACCACCATTATATCGCTCGCGATCTCGACGGTGCACGTTGTATCCGGCACAATTCAACAATGTTGAATTGCTGTGCAACTTCGTCTCCTGGACCGCAGCTGTCAATATACCATGCCTTCCCATGAAGACGGTTATCTCCTCGATCTTGCTCTGAAGTCCGTTACAGTTAAATTAAATGAGATTCATGTGGTTCGGGAGACGTGTTGTTATGCAGGTTGTGAGGGATATGTGTGGCCTTGCCGCCATTGGCTGTGTGCCTTGCTGTGGCGGTTGCCGCCATGTGGTGGTAGTGGGTGGCGTCGCAATTGGGGTTTGCGACCGAGCGGCGCAACACGGACCCTCGCAGTTCCTCGTAAAATCTCGCGTGGTGCGCAGACCTGAATATGCCTTAAAGTGGCACCAGCCAAAGCAGGTGTTGCCCTTGACTGATGTCAAGTTACGGAATATCCTGGTCTGACATACCGTGCAGATTGTAGGAGGAACGCGGAGTTGTTGGCGGCGTCGTGTGGGTGGTGGTGTGGTTGTGTCTGTTTTGTGGTCTGTCGTGGTTGTGGTGTGCATTGCATTGTCGTGTGAATTGTATTGTTGTGTTGTGGTGCTTGTATTGAGCTGCTCAGGTGGACTGGGGTTAGCCGTGAAGGCTGCTCTGTTTGATCAGCAGGGGGCCACAAACGATGTGGTATACTGCCGATGGATCCGTAGTCCTGAACAAACTCTGAGGATACTCCACCCGTTGCAAGCATTGCACTTGACTAAGGTGGATTTGTGGTGTAGTCGTCTCTGGCATACACAACAGGTGATGCCAGCCCTGAGCAGAAGAATACGTAGCAAATGTAGCCCTATGGACGAACAACTTCTGAGATACTTCGCCGACCTAAACGGGGTTAGATCGCCGAAACCACAGCCCTTGGTCGGAAAAAACCCGAGCCATTCCCGTACGTAGAACCGGCTCTCGTGGGAATGATCGGGCTTGCGTCAATCGTGTGTGTGGTGTATGGGGTTGTTTGTACTAAATTACACAGTTATTGCGCAAAAATCAAAATAATATTGTTATTGTACAATAATTTGTGTTGTGTATGGCAACTACTGCATAATTTTTAGTCTAGCTTTTATTTTGGTGTCCAGATCATGTCGGCCGCTGTGGTGTTGTGGTAAGCAGTGCACGCCTTCACTCATCAGCACCTGGGTTCAAGCCCTGGTCAAAGCAACATCGCAAAAAATAGAAAAAGGTTTTTTCTTAATAGCGGTCCTCCCTCTGCAGGCAATGGCAAACCACCGAGTGTATTTCTGCCATGAAAAACAGCTTCTCATAAAAAAAAAATACAATCGCCGTTCGAAGTCGGCGTAAAACTGTAGGTCGCTCCGCCTTGTGTGACAACATCAAGGCGCACGCCACAAGTCGGAGGAGAGGCTCGGCCAAACACTAACATATGTGTAAGCGCCAATCTATTATTAGTTGCGTTCCCTAACTCGCAAGAAGTTGCAAGAATTTACAGGAATTTGCCAGAAAGCGTTCCCGTACTCGGCTCTCTGGCTTCTATTGCCTTTTGACAGTTTTACAGGTTTTAGCCCAGAAAAGTTAGGGAACGCAACTATTATTATTATTAGATCATGCTAAAAACATGGATACGAGTGTAGGAAAAAAAATTTTTAGTATTCATTTTTTTGTGTTTTGAAACTGAAGCTATCAAAATATGTAACGAACATTCATATTTTTTGCACATATTTACTTGAGCAACGTTTCTCCAAAATAAGGTTTGTGCAATTTTATCGTGTAGTAATTTCCACGATATTGACTTACACAAGTCTCACAATGATTTTGTGTGGTTTAGGAGTCCTATAAGTTTGTTTATCGTTATGCAAATAAGCATGCGGATTTGTTTTTCATAAAGAAAGTAAGGGTTGGCTTTCCTTTATGGCCGTTCTTTAAAGGGGCGGTGGGCGAAAGGTAAGTGGGCATGGCACCTCTAACCCACCTTTTTGGAGAGGGAATGAACCGCCATTGACAAAAAAAAGTTTCATGTATCGCTATTGTCATGGCAGTATTGTCCGGTGTAAACCCTAAGTTAAACTCGTAAAAGCCTCGTAAATCTCGTAAAGCTCGTAAATTTGCGAGCCTCGTGAAAGAACTGTCAAAATTTGTATGGAGCTCTATTTAGTGCTCATTTACACACGGCGATTTTTGTTGCCGCAACTCGACGTTTGTAGGAGAGAGCGTGACGAGGAAAGAAGAGGGGCACCGAGTCATGAACCAAGAAGACAAGATCACGCGGGCTGGATACTAGCCCGTTAGAATCGCATTTAGGAAAAAAATTGAACGATTTTGACATTAACCGTTTGTTTACATTTCTTCGTTGTTTACAATTTGGTGGTGGCTTTTTACTGCAATTTTCTTCATTTTCGCTTGTGACAACGTGTGTACACATAAGATAAAGAATAATTTAACACAACGGCATAATTTATAGAAGAATTTGCATAATAAAAATGATTTTTCATGCGTTCAACAATTTCGCGGTTTTCTCCGTTCTCTACGTTGTTTACTTCTTACAACAAAGATGGCGTCGTGATTTCGGCAGCTAGAAAATAACTTTTTTCGTTCTTTCCTTCCCGCGTGATCTTGTGTCTTTCGTTCATGGCACCGAGTTGCTCGTGCTCGGGCAACACGCCTTGTGCTCTCGTTCATCTGTGTAAATTGAGTTAGCGGTTCACAGCTGACAACCATAATTGCACACACAAAACACGCCGTGTGTAAATGAAACGAGCAACACCAAAAGGGAATGTGAAAAACCGCGTCGACAAAAGTTTCCGTGTATAAACAAAGTCTTACGAGCACCTTGTAAAACGACCTCGTAAACTTCAGTGTTGCCAAGGGGCCGAAACTTTTAGACTAAAATGTATGATAAAATAATGAAAACAAGTGAAAGAATAATGGTAAATTTCGGCATTTTTATGTGTATTTTAGTCAAGAGTGATAGAGACAAGATATTATGGAAAATACTACGAAACAAAAATTGCTTCACAAAATCCTGGTTGATCAGTCAAACAGTCACTTTACGCACCTATACACCTTTTTAAAAAGTGGGCGTTCCCATAAAAGCCTCGTAAACTTATAAGCTTTATACGGTTTAAGACTTTACGAGTTTAAGGGAATCCCTTAATCATTTTTTAACGACACTAATAGAATACATCTACCCAATGTACTGTGCCTAGTATTGGTGTCTCTACACTGCTTCTAGAAAGCATACCGTTTTCCATCACTGCTTTAACACAGCGCAAAAAGTCATACAGTTTTCTCAAAGCAACCCTGTCAGAAAGTATTGAGTCGAGTAGAACATGGACGAGAAAAAATTAAAATCACGTAGAAAGAAGCTATAGTGCGGTGAAATTATTGAAATTTCACCCTTTTAGTTTTGGAAATAATAAATATTTTATTAATATATGGATATATTACATAATGTGCGGATTAATCGGAAAAATATCTGAGTGTCTAACTGCGGATCGAAAAAAGTGAAAAGATATGTAAAAGAAAAAACTTTGAATTGCAATAACTATGCCATTGCATTGGTGTGAGAAAGGGATAACTAGACTGACAATGAAGCAAGTGTGGCCAATAAGTGCGAGATAAAAGGAGTTGCTTCTATAATTGTCAGCTGGGTCTGTCAAAAACGAACGAAAACAGGAAAATTTGGTTTTGTTTGTTAGTTTGTCTTAATTCTTCCGCTGTCTACTTTATGCAAATTTGATGAAAAACTGAATTAATAATTGCAAAAAGGAAAATCGGAAACAAATTAAAGCAAACCCTTAACTACTTTAGAGTAGGAGGATCTGGGATAGTGGAAAAAATCATTAAATTGCAGGCAATAAGGAGATGAAAATTCGAAAAAATAGTTGCGAAGACATTCCAGCAATTGAAAAAAAGAGCAGCCGAAAAGGAAGTTCTGATAAAGAAGGGTACGAAGTGGGGGAAAAAGAGAAACGCGATAAAAGTAGACTTGATGAAAATGATTTGAATAGTGAGTCGATACAAAGGGAAAACGAAATAAAAAACGGGAACGAATAAACGACGCACGACTTTATCCATCCACCACTATTCATGGGTAGGAAGAAAAGTGATGCGATAAATCTGAGATCTACAGAAGAAATGTGCTTTAGAGGCTCTAGAAAAATTGCAGAAAAAACGTAACGCCAGAATTTTGGATATAAAACCAAGTCAAGCTTGACTACAAAAGCTCGCCTTTCTCATCTTTGTATCGTTGGATTTTCCAGGTTCAAAATGAGTCCACAGGTCAGGTAAGTCTGAATTTTAAAAACTATATGTAAGTGTATATTGCGCACCCGTATATTAGGGCAGATTGAATATGTGCATATGTATGTACATATTTTGTTGAAATATTCGCTAATCACATTGCCGATTGTAAAACATTCGATGGTTAGCTAAAAACTTTGTAAACAGAAGCCTGCAATTCTGAGTGTTCACGATGGAGAAGAACGAAACCCCACGCCTAGTAACTTCTTTCTTCGTGCTAAATAAATTATGCAAAATCCACTTATAATATTGTAGAATAGTTATGAGCATAAATATTTTTTATTTTTTGTATTACAGAATCATCCAATCGCATAAAGAAGGTTAGGGCGTTTATTTATGTGTGTATGTACATTTCCATGCATATACCTATGTATGTATGTACATTTGTATCTATGTAAAGGGTGATTTTTTAAGAGCTTGATAACTTTTTTTTTAAAAAAAACGCATAAAATTTGCAAAATCTCATCGGTTCTTTATTTGAAACGTTAGATTGGTCCATGACATTTACTTTTTGAAGATAATTTCATTTAAATGTTGACCGCGGCTGCGTCTTAGGTGGTCCATTCGGAAAGTCCAATTTTGGGCAACTTTTTCGAGCATTTCGGCCGGAATAGCCCGAATTTCTTCGGAAATGTTGTCTTCCAAAGCTGGAATAGTTGCTGGCTTATTTCTGTAGACTTTAGACTTGACGTAGCCCCACAAAAAATAGTCTAAAGGCGTCAAATCGCATGATCTTGGTGGCCAACTTACCGGTCCATTTCTTGAGATGAATTGTTCTCCGAAGTTTTCCCTCAAAATGGCCATAGAATCGCGAGCTGTGTGGCATGTAGCGCCATCTTGTTGAAACCACATGTCAACCAAGTTCAGTTCTTCCATTTTTGGCAACAAAAAGTTTGTTAGCATCGAACGATAGCGATCGCCATTCACCGTAACGTTGCGTCCAACAGCATCTTTGAAAAAATACGGTCCAATGATTCCACCAGCGTACAAACCACACCAAACAGTGCATTTTTCGGGATGCATGGGCAGTTCTTGAACGGCTTCTGGTTGCTCTTCACTCCAAATGCGGCAATTTTGCTTATTTACGAAGCCATTCAACCAGAAATGAGCCTCATCGCTGAACAAAATTTGTCGATAAAAAAGCAAACACACACATTTCGAACCGAACACTGATTTTGGTAATAAAATTCAATGATTTGCAAGCGTTGCTCGTTAGTAAGTCTATTCATGATGAAATGTCAAAGCATACTGAGCATCTTTCTCTTTGACACCATGTCTGAAATCCCACGTGATCTGTCAAATACTAATGCATGAAAATCCTAACCTCAAAAAAATCACCCGTTATATAGTACATATATCGAGATTGGGGTTTCAAAGACTTAATGCTTCTAATTACATGATTTTATACTTGCTTATTTATCCGTGTGCAAATATTGGAATGTATGTACATATAAATATGTAAAAATTATTTTTCATTATATAAACTTCATGAAAGTTATTATTTTCGAAATCAATTTATCGTGTAGATGTTGTATATGAATACTAGCATACAAAGCTCTTGTGCGGTTACCACGTTTGTGGGCTATCGTATGTACCTATCTCAAAGCCACACAAACTTTCCAATTTAGGCCGGGAGCTAAATTTTGTTACGCTTTGCATCTTTTATTTTCAACACATACCACTGAAATTCTTATTTAAATCTGATAACTTTTTGAGCCTTTTAATGGTATACCTGTCAAACGATCGCCTTAAACGATGCTCTTTCATCTGCTTCGTCTCCCATTGGGTCTGCAAAGCGATTGACCCCTAATACAAAACACACTCCACCAACACTCCCCAAAAAGTCTTTGGGGAATTTGTATACTGCTACAACAACAACAACAACAAAACACACTGAAAATGTGGGGAGTGTAAATAAGAGGCGCCGCAATGAAATTAAATCGTTAGTGGATGTGAAGAATAAGAATGTCGCTGTTATCTCATCCCAAAATACTGCTGTTAACCCATCACCAAATGCTCTGTAATATTGTGAATTTGTCTTCCGATGCTGATTTTGACACCGGCGATGTTGCTGCTGGTGCTGATGCTGCCATTGCTAAGGGGTGTGAAGCTAATGGTGGTCTAAATCCCGTGCGTTCTGATGTTAAGGAATCTGATAAACTGCCCATAGCGGATAATTTACATTCGCCTCGCTCGACACCTGCTGCTGCGGCTCGCGATGTTGCTGGTGGTACTGATGCCCGAACATACCTTGCTATTGCTGGCACCAGTGGCGGTGCGCATTCTTTTGGGTCTAGTGCTGTTAACTGGCCTGCGAATTCTTCTGACAGTGTTAGTGGTCATTCTCAGGGATCTCGTGCGGTCAACGTGCCAGATGATTCTGCTACTGCCTTGGCGGCGCCGCCGAGACCAGGCAAAACAATCAACATTGTTGGCTGCAACTCCTGCTAAGACCTAGGGGTTGCACGAATGAAATGGCTTCATCTTTCTTCGTTCCAGTCTACTGCCTGATAATATCATCGACTATATCATCGACACGCGGGCATTAATAAGAACCAGCTATTTTGCCACAACCTAATTATATATTAATTTTTGCAATACATATTTATTTATTTATATATTTTTATATATGTACGATGAGCCTCAAAACTCCGTCAAATGGGTAAATTTCAAACTTGGAATTTCTTCTGCACTATTCGATAAGCCGCTTTTCTCTGAACTCTTTTTTTTCCTTCCGGAAAGATAGGAGACGCTGTTAAGAGTTGTCGCTCCAGGGGCTTAGGCGTCTTGATTGCAGTGAATCGAAAATTCCGCGCTTCATTGATTAATCCGGAAAATACTGACTCACAACTGGATCAGCTTTGCGTTTGTGTTGCTGGGTCATCAATTTCTTGTTCACTGTTTTCTTCGTATATTCGAATAGTGTGGATAGCCTATGCAGGGCACATGCTGACAACATTACATATTTTGTTCACAATGCGATTGGGGACAATTATCTGTATATTCGGCGGTTTTAATCTTAGTAATGTTAATTGGTCAAATAGCTATATTAACAATGGGCTCACTCCTAATAATCTATCTTTCTTTCATGAATCTTATCTTATTGATAATTAACTTAGCCTTAAATTATCGCAAATTAACCACTTTGTAAACGAGCTCGATAGAATTTTAGATTTAATTTTCATTTGTGATGGTGTAAATTACAACATCACCGAATGTCTTGCTCCAATTACAGCCGCAGGTGTGCATCATGTAGCGCCCATTCTTAAAATGGATTTTATCATTTTGCACCGATCACTATAGGTAATAATAATATTGCCTTCAATTACTTCGACTTGGATGCCGGTTACTGCTTTAACACCTTCAAGACCATTTTGTTTGACATTTGCTCCTCCCAACATTCCCACCACCCAAAGTTAGCCGTATAAACTACCTTGGTAAAATTCTCGATTAAAGAAGCTCAAAAATCTGCGAAATAAATATTACAATAAGTACAAGTCAACCAATAGTCAGTGTTACCACTTAATGTACAAGCGTTTTTTAAGAGTTTTATTTAAAAATGAGTCTTGGAATTTTGTAAAATCGAAAAAAACGTGCTCTTCAATTCCATCTAATGTTTTATTTAACGATAAATGAAGGGGTTAGAATCATAAAGGTCTAAGTGATATTTTTTGAAAATATAAGTTATACCCATATTTGTATAGTTAAATATAGTGTTTATTTGATTTAATTTCAGATCTACTTAGATCCTTTTGATTCTAACCCCTTCAAATGTAATAATAATTTCTTGGATGTTTTTAGATGCTTGGAAATCGGGCACCATAACTCCAATTTTCAAAAGCGGAAACAAAAACAATATTAGTAACTATAGACCGATTTCTAAGCTGTCTACAGTTTCTAAACTGGTCGAATGCATCGTTAAGTAGAAAATTTATTTCTCGGTCAAGAGTCTTATTTGCCCAAACCAACATGGTTTTGTACCAGGGCGTTCCACGGTCTCAAATCTTGCAGCGAATATTGTATATCGAATATTGTATATCGGCGTTTTCTTTTGCATCTAATGTGGATTATATCTACACGTACTTTTCGAAAGCTTTCGACAAGGTGTCGTATAGAATTTTAGTCGCGAAACTCGAACGCCTAAGTTTCCATTCTGTTTTCTTAAACTGTTATATGTGTTGCAGGCGGTGGCCCGTTTTTCGTCTGACACCTTCGCGTCGACCTCGGGCGTGCCACAAGGTAGTATTCTCGAGTCTTTTGTTTTGTTTATAAATGACATTAGATCATGCATCTCGTTTTCAAAATATCTGTTATAAGTTGACGATTTAAAAATATTCTCGAACATAACGAGCACTGCCGACATGCTCATGCTCCAAATGGAACTTGACAATATGCTAGCTTAATTTCATTTCATTTCATTTATTAAATGTATAACCATTAGTACAATAAGATATAATCTTTTACAGTACAACAAATTGCTGATTTAAATATAGACAAAGAGAAAAGCATACATACATACATATGCAAACTTAAGAATAAAAACAAGGGCAAATAAATAAACTAACATTATAATTATAATCCCTAAACAATAAAGATTAAGAGTACTAAGGAATACGGTAAGAAATAAAAACATACAAAGATAGAAAATAAATTAAGAATGTTGATAAAGATTGATAGGTAAAGATAGATGGCCAGTCCATTCAAAACATTATTTCTTAAAATGTGCGTAAATAGATTGCTTCAAGTTGCTTCTGCTTAGACTACTTCTTACACCAGCAGGGGTAGAGTTCCACAAACGTATAGCGTTGACGAAGAACAGTCTCTCTGATGCTAACGTACTAAAGTGAATGACAATTAGATCTGTTACCCGTGCAGACCTAGTAAATACTAACTTATTAAAAAGGTAACCTGGAGATTCCATAGCAATCAGTCTATATAGAAAAACAACAGTTTCGGGCTTTTCGGTATTATTATTTGTAGGGCAAGCTGACGCCTTGTACTCATTGGAGTATAAAATCCAGACACTTTTAAATTTCTTAAGGTAGCATAAACCCTCCCAACCATTGCATTAATATGGTCTGTAAAAGTCAGGTTAGAGTTTAGTATAAACCCTAAATTTTTTACCTTGCTGACGATTTTCAGAGGTTTGTTAGCGATGATCAGCGGCGATAAAAAGCTGAAATCTATGTTTTTCTTATTAAGTATTGGCAAAACAAGTGACTTATCACATTTTCGTTGTTGGTGATTTATCACAATTGAGATGCAAACCATTGGCATTCGCCCAATTGAAGGAAACGGATAGCTCAGCATTAATACCGCCGCACAATCGATCTGCTTGCACAAGAGGAGCCAATAAGTATAGTTGAATATCGTCAGCATAGGCATGGAGATTAGCTTTTAGGCAGACCTGAAAAATGTCGTTTAGAAATAGGCTAAAAAGAAGTGGGCCAAGTATAGATTCCTGAGGCACCCCAGCAGGCATCCCCTTTAGCTGAGAGAGCTCAGAACCAATTCGTACACGCTTGGTGCCTTTAATCCCGCTTTTCCCTTAATATCAATAAATGTTTTCATGTTACATTCTCTAAGTCCTAAAATGTCTGTATCATATCTCAGGCAGCACGCTGCAGCTTATCAGAGAAATTAAGGACCTTGGCGTTATATTTGATACCAAGCTCTCCTTTATTGGCCACATCGATTTCATAATTTCTAAGTCATATGCTATGCTTGGCTTAGTCGGGAGGAATAGTGCTGAGTTTTCTAATCCGCATACCTTAAAACTGTTATATACATACCTCGTTCGTTCGCTCCCATCTGGAGTTTGATGCCTTCATCTGGCTTCCGTTCCATCAAATTAAGATTGACAGGATCGAGCGCGTTCAAAAGGTTTACACTTCTCACGTTTCTCTGACCCGATTCCTTCCTATAGTGATCGCTCATTGCTTATTCGCCTAAAATCGTTGGAAAAGAGAAGGTCTGTCCTTTCCGTAACTTTTGTGTTGGACATTATTCAAGGAACTGTTGACTGTCCTTACCTCTTGGAACGTATTCACTTTAATGTTCCTCAAAGATCCCTTCGGCTCTACTATACATTTTATAGTAGTAATTACGCTCGCAATGCGCCCCTCTGCCGAGCTGCCAATGAATTCAATCCAATCTCTAATTTTATCGAAAACGATTTTTCGCAATTACCTAAATTAAGCATTTAAATTAATAACTTTTTATCCTTCTCATAGTCTGTAAGAATGTATTGTTCATAGACTATAATATGTAAATAAATAAATAAATAATAAATATATATATTTATATATTTTAAATATGTTATTTATTTATTAATTCATTCAATCTACAGAAGTAGGTTCCCTCAGACTATTTAGCAATTAGGTATATCTTAATTAAAGATTGTGAAGAGATACATTTTAACAGCAAATTTCACGAAAGCAATTTAAAACTATGTTCACATCAAATTACTTCACATGCAGCAGGTACGTTCACATTTTCTTTCATAATTTCTATAGATATCGATGGTCCTGTGCAACAACGACACAATTCAAAATTCAAAAAATAAAAACTGTTACTACTGTTAAGTGGCTCATGTGTTTAATCCTTGTCGAATCCATGTCTCATCTTTTGTACTTACTTTAACAATCCTTACTGCTTACTTGAGTAAGGGATGGAAATGGATTAGACAAGGATTAGAGACAAGAATCACTTAACAGTAGTAACAGTTTTTGTTTTACGAATTTTGAATTGTGTCGTTATTGCACAGGACCATCGATGTGTGATCACACGTACACATTGGGTAGGTTCAGAAGGCGCAGAAGTTGAGCGCAACCGTTGCTAAAAAAAATCAGTGATCATAATGCGCCTTCTGAACGGCTTGATACATTAGCTGTCAAATTCAAAACACAACATGTTGTCTTAAATGATCATAAAAATATTACGATTATCTAACACGCAACTGTTCAGTTGATAAGAAGTGCAAAACAACGCGTTCAGAAGGTGCAATCGGAACAGTTACTGAGCTGTTGTGCCTTCTGAACGTGCCCATTACGAGTATGTGGTTTGTACTTGATTTCAAATTTTTTTTTGAATTTCCTAAACAGTGCGGGTTAAAATAAATGAAATATTTTTTTTCTTCATTTTGTTCTTGATTTGCTTATAAATTACAAATGAGCCGTAAATTACGTTGATGTGAACATGCTTTAAGTGAAAAATTTGTTTAATTCGAATTTTATATAGAAAATGACAGAAAATCAATTGCTGGTGAAATCGGCTGTAAATCTATCAATACTTAAATTAAAATTGATTACGCTGGAGTAAGTGTTTCAAAACCTTATACACATAGCAATCGGTTCATTAGTAGCGTAATTGGTGGTATGCATTGTACCTATCAATATACTATGCCTCAGATTACGTGGAACATCAGATAAATTGATTAAATTGGCAAGTTCGGCCCAATTAATATTGCCATTCAAAACATTGTATACAAACATAATTGAGAACTAGTCCGTTCTATCCTGCAGTGACTGCAACCCAAGCAGTTTACGTCTGCTTGAAAGATAACCATGCCAAGACATCTTTCGCATAGCCATTTTTGAAAAGACTCTGTACTCTTTCTACTTTATGTGAGTGAATTTCATAATATGGATTCCATTGCTTCAGCCCGACCACCTAATTTGTTTTTCATGTGAAATTTTTTTCATTGCAAAAATGCACACGATAATAAATATGTTTCCATGATGTTCTACATAAATACAATCGACCGCTGTAGTGGTCATTATCTAGTTGAAAAAGAAGAAAAGAGAACTATAGCTCGCATAATAACCTATAAACTCTACATCGCTTAGCACAAAATTATGAAAATGGCTAATTAGTTTACTTTAAGCAAGCCATGAGAACTAAAAAAAGTTACTATACACTAACTAAAATTTTAGAACTAAATTTACATGCAATAATAGGTCTGTTCGATGAACGCTCTAGAGTACTCTAGTGCAATTAAAAGCGTTCGATGAGAGTTTTTCTTGCACTAAACGAAGGTATTTTTTGCGCTAAATATCAGATGTTGTCCTGCGTTGCACTGTTCTACACTTTTAGTGCACTCATCGAACAGACCTAATGAATTACCACCGTTAAAAGCAGAGGCAAGTAAACTGCAACTCTTTCTTGTTTTTTGTTTGCGTTAAGCTTTATACGAATAAAAAAAAACTTTCTAATTGGTTTAACTTTGCACTAGATTTCGTCGTTTTATAGCAATAATCGGATAGGACCTTAATCTGCCTTCATACGCTAAGAGTATGAGAACGACCTTATTGGGTACATCAATATTTTATCGCCCAACAACATCCCAACAAAGCAAAAACTCGCTGAAAATGGAAACCCATTCATCTTCTGTGCGACAGAAAATGATCGCCGATCCTATGGAAGAAAAAAACGAGCAAGTGAATCTCTTGAGCGAAGAGGAGGAGAAGGATCCATTAGCATTAGATACAGCGATCGAACAGCACAGCTCGCGAAGTAAGCTATCAAGCAACGCAAAGCACAGCCACAGTTTACGGTACGCGTTTTTACATAAATTCAATGCTTATTTGATCTAGTTTTGAGTGTCTAGTTACTAATGTGAATTTTATAAAAATATAAGTTTTCTGATTTATTATATTTTAAACTTCAATCGAACTTCTAGGCGTCATGTTCCTCGTATCATCGTTAAACCTATACCACCCGAGAAAAAGGTTGCAGTCACGTCGACAGCAACATTGAGTAGTAACGCTGCAATGTCCACTGCTACTGCCAATACTGTGATCAATACCGCTGGTGGAAAGAACACAACACCGAGCCCTTCGAGCCGTGCCAGTAGCAGTCGTCGTGCACAACAACAAGCCAAAGCTGCGGTAGCCGCCACGCCATTAACCGGAGCCGCATCTTTAACAACACCCTTAACAGCCATCACACAAGCGTCCACAATGCGTGAAGTTCTCGCATCCATACCCGGGTTTAGTTTTAAGCCCCGTAGACGTTCTTCCAAGAAAATTTCCACTGCTGCTCAAATTGAGCAGACAAAGGATGGAAAAATAGACCTCGAAACACCAGACTCAATATTAGCATCTACGAATTTGAGAGCCTTACTCAACAAACAAACCTTTTCTATGCTGCCTCCATTATATCAGTATAACCTCATTCAATTGCTACCGAGCGTGGATCGCGAAGCCATCGAAGTTGAACGCAAGAACACTACTGACTCCACGGCTCCCATGGAAGCTATAAAATTGGGGCCATCCAGTCTAAATAATGAGTTCTTTGCACGTGCCTGCTTGGAATGGCGTGAACGATTGGCGGAAGGTGAATTCACACCTGAAAATCAAATGAAAATGAAAACAGAAGCCGAGAGGGAAAAGAACAAATTAGATCCATGGAAATTGAAACATTTTGAGCCCATATGGGGCGAAAAATCCTACAATCGCGCCAGTAGCACCAGTAGTAGTAGCAGCAATATAAGTTACAGTAGTGGCAAAAGCAGTGATAGTTATACTAATCTAATGGATGAGCGTCTTGAGTTTAAATTGGAAAGCAAAGGCGGTCTGGTTGCTACAATTGTGAAGACATCAACTAAAACGTCAGCGACATCCACGGCTACATCATTAGCTGCCTCTGCGGCAGCAACTTCAACGACGACGGCAACTGTGGCATCGGCAGCGAGCACTGAAAGTGCCGAAAACACAACATCCTCATCATCTGTAGATGTGAAAGAGGAGGATGAAGAATTTATGGATGAACCGCTGGCAAATATAAGTGTAAATACTATTAAAACAGAGCTGAAAATACAACCCGAACAGCTGCACAAGCAGGAGTATACGGAAAGCTCTACTACCGATTACGAAAAACAGACTGACACATTTTGTGATCTGGTGAGTGTTAATTGTAATAACTTGAATACATTCATTTAATTAAATTTTCAACATTTGTTTTATTTTTAACTTAATGGTTATACAGATGTATTGTCTGGCTCAAACTATGATATTTTCTTAATACACTTTTTTTGCATTTATTTTTAACAGGAAATATTGGTTATACAGATTTATTGTCTGGCTCAAACTATGATATTTTCTTAATACACTTTTTTTCATTTATTTTCAACAGGAAAATATTGGCTGCACAGATTCATCCTCTACATTTGACCTATTACGCTCAGACTGTGGTGGTATTCAAAACAAACCAATAGCTGCAGAATCTAAAATTACCTTAACGCTAAGCGCGTTGGAACATGAAAGACAAAATGAATGTGGGAGTAGTGGTAATATACGCAAACGTTCGGAGTCAGAGTTTGCTTATGAAAATCGAACACAAAGCAAACAAATGAAAATAGAAACACAAAAGGGACAGGAACAACATCCAAATCCACATCCACATGATTATGATATTACTGACTCAGCAACCAGTATAGAACGTGAGATAAGCCATCTTGCTGGTGACGATCCCAAAAACACACTCTCTCCATCCGTATCATCGGCTACTTCAAGTTCCCAAGAGTTGAATGGCAGCATTAGCTTAACAACAAACTCATCCTCAACAAAAGCGCTTACCACCGAAAGTTTCATGTATAATAGCAATCTTTACACTGCTAAATTCGAACAGCAACCCGCTGATCTGCTACTAAAGGATACGATCTCTTCAATTAGTAGTGAAGAATGTGCCAGTGTGAATACCTTACCTGATGTGGTAATGAAAACGTCAAATTTCCTACAAAACCAAGATACTTCCTTTGCGGCAATTACGACAGTGGGAAATAGTACCTGTAACAGTATTGAAACACTTCTGCCAACAACGTCGTCGTTTGTGAACGTGAATGCAATATTGCCATCAACGGTGTCACCTAGACCAAGCGGAGGTATAACATTACAACAGTCCTTCCCATCACAAGGAAAGCAAATAAACGCGGCGTCTATAATTTCATTGGAAGACGGGGAGGATGACGACGAGGAGCTGATCGAACAAAAGTTTGCTGATGCACACAATTACGTGTTGGAATCTGGCGAAGTTAGTACGGATAGCAGTGCAGGTAAGATTTTGCTCTGTAGTATTAAATTCAATATATACATGTATTAAGGACGCTGGTTTATAAAATCATATTGATTTATTTTTAATTTTCTAATATAATTAATGTAATTAAAAAACACACCAGGTGCAAACAGCGCTTTACTTACACCAGCGGACAGTGGTAGCTTAAAGGAAAAGAAATTTATTTTCTGTGATTCAGTAGACCAAGGTAATTATACATACCACGAAACTACTTATGAATTAATTTTCATTTGATTTTTATTTAAACGGAAAAACTTGGTAGCACTGGATAGGTTTCGACGATTTTCGTCGGCTACTTATATCAGGACGACGGTAGTCAATGCTAATGTTGTCGAGTCGTACAATTTAGTCTATTTTACGCCATACGCAATGAACTGTTAGCGATAATGGTGGACATACCAAAACTGCGACACTTAGAGATTACTACCAGAAACAAACTAGAAGGCTTTGAAATTAATTTGTTTACATTATATAAATTGGAAATTTAGATATTATTAAAATGTTAAAATATTAGTTATAATTTTCTCCATATGCAAGTGCACGACTGCATCATCGTTCATTGTCCCGGATGGAAAAAAAGGGCTGCTCTTACGGCCACAGGAACAAATTTCTTGCAAAGCCATGTTGTTTTTTGGAAAATTTGACTTCACTTTCAGTTTACAGCATCTTGACGACTTGCAGCATAATTGGTTTTTTGTTGGTTTGCTACAAAATTTTTAGTCCCACGGATAAACAACGGATAATTTACGGCAAATTATCAAATAATTAGTTTGAGTCTAACTGGTTTCTTTATTGGGTTTTTGAAGGTGTCCCACTATTCCTATCGGATAATTTGCCATTAATTATCTGTAAATTATCCGTAACAACAATAATTTAGCCGCGGACATATTTGAAAAGATATCGCGTGCTCTGCAGGACACGTTCAAAAAACCAATTAAGGAAACCGGCAACACCCAAAAGTTACTATTTGATAATTTGCCACAGAAGTTAGCAGAGCTCGCGATATTTTTAAAATATGTCCGCAGCAGAATTATTGTCACGGATAATGAACGGCAAATTATCCGATAGGAATTTGTCTTTGGGAAAAAAACTGTCTCGCCAACTTCAGAGAGGTCCTGGGTGGGAAGAGGACACAAGAAACAGTTTTATAAGTGTCTCGGTCCATAGCTGTAGAGAAGCAGGAAGATGGTTCTAACTTTTTAAATTGTATTGTGATGATGTTTTTGCTCTTAAAAGTTGAAGAAAACTTAAAAAACCAACAAGTGCGAAAATATGCATCGCAGTCGAATAAAATTTCCAGAGTTTCGGGTAATGCAATCTATAAATGAAAAAAAAAAAATCCCAGTATATAATTTTAGCTATCACTTCTATCATTTTCATAAATTATTGTTGCTTTTCCACAATAGTTTTTCATTAAAATCGGCATCAAGCTCTATAAAAGTTGTTGAATATAATTGTTATAAGGCCATAAACAAAAACCATAAATACCCATGTGTTCAGAAATGCATCAAGAAATGTCTAATATGTGCAACCACGGTTAAATGCGTTATTGGTACTTAGTTAAGCAAGTAAGACATTTCCCATCCATTATAGATAAGAACAGCAGGCCAATAAAAATAAATTAAAAATTTCTTAGAAAACCCCTGTATAACTGAAAAAGCGTGTACCTCGCTCTAAACTTTGTGAACAATTTTTTTTACTTTCGGTAAAGCGACCGCGTTCGAGTATGACAAGGTTACGTTTTTACGCTCAAATCGTCACTTTTCAGCATGTAATCATACCTTTAGTCGACACGCTCGAGTAAATTTGGTTATCGATTTTTTTATTATTCCAATCGGTTGCAAGGTATCCCCCACTACGATTGCCACTTGGTAAAAAAATAGCCAACCAAACTCTGAAGAAAAAACAACCAAATTTTTTAGCCACTTATCTATTACAAAAAGCAAAACACTACGAAAAATAAAAAGTCAACAATTTTATTGAGCTTGAGCCGTTTTTTTAATAAAAATTTTGTGGAAAAACAACATTAATTTACATTTTGGTTGAAGTTATAGCTGCTATGTATTTCGGAAAACAAAAATTATTAAAATGCTTGTGCGTTCAATGACATATTTTCTTTTTATATGTGCATGTAAAACATCCCTGCAAACCAAAGCTCCCGAAGTCTTAACGAAATCTTTAGGGTCTCTAATTTCTGTAACGATTTTTTACGAATCTTCACAGAAAATTGTATGGAGGGGTTGACACGAACTCGTAAAGAACTTTCTGCACGAAAAATTAAGAAAATTCTGCAAGAAAGTCTTCACATAGAAGCATTATTTTCATTGCTTTACATATTTTCTTCCGAAATTTCATAAAAGAATCGAAGTGTGCGTAGTTTATTTCATGATAAAAATATAGTAAGGTAGATCCGCTGAGAGTCACTTTTAAAATTCTTGACGTTTCCAAACAATTTAATTTTTAAATTTACTCACAAACTCACACACACATTTTCATTTTCAATCTCAAGCAACAACAATTTCGTACAATTTCAATTTCTTATTTTCACTTTTATATGATTTTAAAATGTTGGCAAACTTCAAAAAAAAATCATGGCCGACAAATTGAGAGAACGGTTATACCTTGCTATGTTTTTATCATGGTTTATTTCATTTTAGAAAATTCGGCAAAAAATCGGATGAGATCTTTTTTCAATTAAAATATAGTTCATTCTCAGACATACCCGATACAAACCCATGCTTAATTGTTTGTAGAAAACTACAAAAAAGTGCAACAAATTTTCACATAAATTTCCAACTTTTTTTTCGGAAGTGTTAGAATTTTTTTGAGTACACAGTTTTTTAGCCCCTTCAATTTTAGTCTGATAATGTGCAAGTTTCAAGTGGCTTAAAGTTACCGTTGATTTTTTAGAATTTTTTTCGTCACAGGTGTTGCGGATTTCTTCCATATACAAATAAATTGAGTTTATTCATTATATGGAAGCCAATGCGACAAAAAAAATTCTAAAAAATGAACGGTAATTCGTAGCCACTTCAAATTTGCACATTATCAGACTAAAATTGAAGGGGCTACAAAACTGTGTACTCAAAAAAATTCTAACACTTCCGAGAAAAAAGTTTGAAATTTATGTGAAAATTTGTTGCACTTTTTTGTAGTTTTCTACAAACTGTTAAGCTTGGGTTTGTATCGGGTTTGTCTGAGAATGAACTATATTTTAATTGAAAATTCTTAAAAATCAATAAATAAACATAAGTGGCACATAATATCTCTTGGAAATGACGTGCTATAGATATGACCGATACTGTATATGCTCAGAATAAAAAAGAATAAAGAAGTCGATTTACCCATGTCTGCCTCTCTGTGTACACGATAATCGAACAAAAATTTATATATCTCAACCAGGGTTGTTGCGAATATTCGCAATCGCATTCGCAACCGCGGAGCTTCCGCATTAATTTTAACATTCGCATTCGCAATAATCAATGCGGAGCTTTTGCGAATGCGAATTTTGTGCAAGTGCACCGATAAAACGACAAAATGACAAATTATAGCCAATATTTTTGCTTGTGGTCTTGGGAGTATTTGTGTAACTGGTCAAATGTCATATTTATCAACTTTAATAAAAATGTCTTTAAACATATTATTTCTTAAGCTAAATAACCGCGCTATCAATTGGTAGTCATACGAGTTTCCACTTGTAGTTGACCTTTTAACAATACATATATGTGCTTTAAATACCTGCATTCGTTTATTTTTTTTATCTGCCTTATCCTGAGTTTCGCCTGAGAAAAAATTCCCCCGAAAATTTGTCATCCGCCCATAGTAAAACTATGGAAACCAAAAGTGAAAAGTGAACCGGCTCAGGGAAAATGAAACTCACGATAAAGCTGATTATGATTTTTTTTGGACCAATCTTAAAAAAACTACTATACACAAAAGAAGAAAGTGTGCACTGTAATTCTTAACCAAAGTTTCGTGATTTGCCTCTGATGTTACATATATTCGTTTCAATAATTTCAAATGGGGCTCTTTGGGGAATTTATTCCTAGCAAAAATTTTAAAAACAGTAATTTCGTCTACTTTTGTCGGGCAATGTTTTTTTCATAGGGATATACATTGGATCCTTGGCTAAAAACTTCTGTGGTAAATCTGTCCCTTTGCTATTTAAAGTCAAAGAGTAAGCTCCTTCAATAGGGATTTCCAGCAGAAATGATAAACGTCAGAATCGAAGCTGCAATGATTAAAAAGCTATTGGTCTCACCTTTAATTAGATAACAATTACGTTACTATCTGAGATTCAAATACTTATAAAAAAACGGGGTGCTTTTTTTTTAAATAACAATATTCTGATCCGAAAACAGAATTTGGTTCAAAATTTTCATTCCTGGAAAATAATCAGCCTTTTGAGTTTCAATTTCACCGAACCGGTTTACTTTTCACTTTTAGTTTCCACTTTTTTTCAGGCGAAACTCAAGAATAAGGCAGAATAATTTATTTATTTAGCTCTATTTAGCTCTCTATAAGCACAAATTTTTCAAAGCAGTCGCAGAAGAAAGTATTAAAAAGAATTTCAAAAACTAAAATCGAAAAACGCTGATGAAGTTACATATTCCCCAAATTCTGAAACAGCCAAAGGAATGAGAATGAAGAATTCTTTTTAAAAAGCTTTAGATAAACTTGACACATCTAGTTTGGTTTGTAAGCGCTGTTTAAGGCAATTCACATCCGCGGATGTTAGCTATTAGATATTCGCATCCGCATTCGCGTCCGCGGATGTCTAAAATTCCACATTCGAAACATCCCTTATCTCAACGAAAAAATGTTGTACATATGTATATATGTGCCCTTCATCCAAGGTAGGTTGGTATTGAAAATGGGCGAAATCGGGCTGCACTTCCCATATAACGGTATTTTCGAAAAAAATGCAAAAATGCGATATTTCAGTAAATATTGGATCCTATTTCTGAAAATTAGTGCATGAAGTAGAATTTCGGTACAAAATAATATTATTATGAAAGTTTTGAAAAATGTGCGTGATCCCGTCCACTTATGATGAAATCCTGTATCTCAGTAGCCACTTCACCAATCTTTACCAAACTTGACTTAGGGTCCACCTAAAAAATCTATTGAAAATCTTTGAAATCTGGCAATAACCACGCTCACCTCCCATATAACGGTAAATTTCGAAAATATGAAAACTCCGATATTTCAATAACTGAGGGCGCTAATTTACTTACTCCAAGTTAATACTCAAACAATCTCTTAAAAATAAATAAGACTCTTCTATATCTTCTTCAAATTCTCAATCCCAACACGGGTTTTCTAAAGAAAAATCTATTATCACTAATTTATTGGAGTTTACAACTTAAGTCTCAAACGATTTTAGAGAAAATGCTCATACCGACGTAATATACACCGATTTCGGTAAAGCTTTTGACAAAGGACATATAGTGGCGTTCAAAATAATAGCAGCAAAATTCAAAATGATACTGTTGGCAACTTATCTTTATTTATTTATTGTTAATAATTTTCATTTAAAATATGGGCCGATCTGTATCAAATACCACATAAATAAAAGTTTCCAAGCTTAAAGCATCGTTCACTCAAAACCGGTATTAAAAAGTTGCAATGCAGATCGTTAGACAATAGATCCACCATTATGAGGTTAAAATTTCATAGTACTGGCTTTTTGTTTGACAGTTTTATTTGCGTTGGAAGTTGCTGCTCAAAAAATAATGTTAAACAATTTCGTTGAAAATCCGACATTTTCGAGATCAAAAATCAAATTAAAATTAAATATACCAAAAACTTATAATTATCCTCAAAAAATCAATGAATAGATTCCTTCTGCTTAAACTAACGGGGTAAGCTAATCATTAAGAGACATCATTTCGCACCAGCTGAAGGATAAGGCTCTTTACCTGAATTAGGGAAAAAAACGGCTTATCAGAAGAAGATCGCGCGAGAGAATTGGAAAACGGTTATCCACAGTTCAGCGAATGCAAGCTAAAGCAAGACTTAAACCTTATCGAGTTATAATATATAAAATTCTGTTAGATTAAATACATTTTATAACAAAAACCGCACCCGTTTACTTTACCCCAATGTTCACACCAAATGTGCTAAAAAATAAACAGGGTGATGTCCTCTCACAACTAAATCTATAGAAGTTGACACAGTTGTCAAAAGGCTATGAAATGACAAGAGAATCTAGGCAGTCTCATTAAAACTCGATCAGACTCCACAATGGGTCATATGACCCCAGAAATATTTATGCGGGAAAGAGCGCATGCACAAAGTGTTATTTCATTGTATCATTTCATCAAAGTTTCGCAAGCTTAAATAGGCCCAAAGCCAATTTCGATTTCAAGCGTTTAATGCTTAAATTTGAGTTGAATCTTCTATAGCGACGGTAGTTAGTTAAAATATCGTCAAGTATCTTCGGTCAACCTCTTTTACCGTGTATAATAATCAGGAGAGTAAATTATCAAAGAGGGTTAGGGTTAGGATTAAAATTACAATTGAAACAATGAGGCATATCCATAGTAGACTGTAAAGATAGGGCCTGTTCGAGACACGTAATAAAAGCAGCATTAATGCCGCACTGATGAAAATTTACAACACAGTTGCAACCTCGGTTGTGATTGCAACTTCTACAAGCCCAGCTTTTCGACATGCTTTCCAAAGGTATATCTGTAAAAAAAAACTTGCGGAGTCGACTTTATTTCGGCTATGAGTATGGCCCAATAATGTTAAGCCTCTCCTACCGCATGTTTTAATTCAGATGTATGTATATTAGGGCGGGTCGAAAATCTAATTTTTCTCAAATCCTTTGGTAATAGTGAAAATATATTGTACCATGAAGTCAACAACAAGCCTGCAAAATATTAGTCTTTTATTTTAATTGTAAGAGCCCGCGCATCGACCGCCAAGTTACCCACAGCACACTAGTCGAATAAGACCAATTCCTGTCAAAAATTCTGGGTTCAGCAAAAAGGTTTGGTACATATTATTAGATAATGAATCAGTTAACGCAAAGGATAAAGTCAAATATCATTTCTCGCAGCCCTTTAGCTTATCATTAATCTCAAATGTATCTTTTTTCAATAAACTTTTAATTGTTCTTTTGATAATTGCACTATAGTCAAACGATGTAAAGAACAGCATTAATATTGCTGGCGTGCATTTAGGTGGCTGGTTCCAAATATTCTAATCTTTTTTTAATATTAGCTATAGTTTGCGAATTTTTGCAAATTTAGGAACAATTTCGGTAGCTTTTATAGATAAGCCATTATTTTCCATCATCGTGGAAAAATTTTGTTTATGCGAATGACTATGGAAACACTGAACAGGCACAACTTCTAGAAACACTAATTAGTTTACTTATGTTTATACATACAATTTAAAAATTGCAAATATAGGAAAATTACAAAAAATTTTGTTCAAAATTTTTTTTTATTTTAAAATAATTTGTTTATAATCTGAACGATTTTAATCACATTATTATCATAAATCAATAACAGTAAGTCTCGCCTTCGATTTGGTAATTATTACGTACCGATCGAGTAACGTATATCAAAGTTATACGAAAAACTTAAGTGGATCTCCATTTTTTATAAAAAAAAATTCTCATCGATTGTATAAATAACTTTTAAATAAAAGAACCGAATTACAGAAAAGAATGCGAGGGAGTGACCTTTTTTCGTTCAACATGAGTGCAAAGCAATATCGTCCAATTGCAGAGTCCTCAAAAGGATTTCTAGGGATATGTTGCATTTACCTACAGTCACTTTTTCACATAATGGAATTAACTAAAATATTTGCGTACATCTAAACACTTATTGCACGTCCCCTACTTTCATATAACGGCAAATTTAGAAACCGCGAAAAATGTTCTTCGGTGACTAATGAAACCATTTCGCTCAAATTTTCAAGACTGCATAAATGGACTTAAAATGGGCGTTTTTTACCCTAATTGTACTATGTTAATGTATGTAAATACTTATATTTATGCTTGAAACTACTATTAACTTATCAAACGATCCCTGATCTTTGAAAATACATGTTTGTCTTCATTCACCAGGATCTTGAAAACTGACCAAATCGACGTGATCAAGTACATGGTCCTTTATTATTATATAAACATCCGAAAACATTAAAACGTTTGAAAAAAAATCTCGTCTCACTTGTCTGTATTTTTCACTTGATTGCTGAAGTAATGAAGAATTGAAAACTCATAAGGGAATATTATAGTTTTTGTAAGTTTTATCTTAATATCTTAAAAACTTGTAGACTTATTGAAAAATTATAAAAGAACATGAGGTACTAAACTTAATAACCTTTAATTTGATATACCGTGCTGTTTAAATATAACAATTAACGCATTCCATAGATATTACAGGCCAAAGTTTCATTTTCAAAATTCATACCCTTTGATTCAATTGCGCGGGCTAAAGATAAGTTTTAAATTAATCTTTCGTGGCCAATAACAATTGGCTTAGACCTAAGACATCATAATATTACTATTACAATACGGACAAATGCCTTTTATTTTCCCCCATACAAAATCGACCCAGCCTAATGTATATCAAAACGAAATATACAAGTTTCTGCAATACTATAAAATGAACACATATGAATCGAGAGAAAATTCACCTCCGTTGTGGGGTCCTGGCGCACTCATTTTTATTTTAAATTTTTCTTCCTCAGGCGCAACATCCCATGCTTGTGACAATCTTTTCGGAAATAAACAAGAAGTTGGCAGTGGCATATCGTCAGCGGCCACATCTTCTGCCTCCTCGTCCTCTTCATCTTCAATGACCTCAGCACCGACGACCAGTGGAGACATGATGTATTCCACAACGGCTCAACTGTCTATCACCGCAAGACAATCGCCCGAGCAAAAGCAGCAAGAACAGCAGCAAGATATTATATTGTCGATGGCTGAGAAGAGTGAAGATTTATTTCATCATGTGCAACATGATTGGAATTTCGGCGGCATAAAATTGGAACAGTCCACAGAAGCAGCGTCAAGTAGTTTTAACGGTGTGATTCAAACGCATCAAGGCGTTATAAAAGTAAAAAATTTAAATACGATTTCAGTTGGAGATGTGGCTATGCCAAGCGTGGAAGCAACTCAAACTGAAGAAGTCGTAGATTGTATAGGTGTAGAGGGGGGTGATGATGCAGCGGCGATTGTTAATTGCGGAGCTGTGAATGCCGGCGTTGATGTTGGCGTTGGCGAGGGCGATGGAGACGATAATGACGTTATCGGGGTGGAGGCTGATGAAGATGACGATGACGAGGCGGAGGAGGAGGATGAGGAAGACGATGATGACCCGGATGATAGTGATGCTGTACGTGATATAGTTGACGAATTACAACAACAGCATCGCCAACTACTCAAAGAGCAGCAACAACAGCTACAGCAGCAACAGCAACTTGAGCAACAACAGGAATTGCAAGAACCCGAAAATCCAGAGCAGCGTGGCCATTTAACTTACGAGCAAGGTGACTATGAGGTACGTAAGCTTATCTAGCCTTTGGATGCTAAGTGTTTGGTAACCAATTCATTTTGGCTTGCAGTTGAGCTCAGATTTGATAAGTGACGTTCAAATGGCGGCTAACGAAATGGAAGTGTCCAGTACCGTAATAACCAATAGCAATTCGGATGACAGCGTTAATGAAATGAATATGGGCTGTAGTAGCAGTCGCCCTGATAGTGGCGTCAGCGGTGGCAATCTCACCATACAGTTGAATACACCGTCGCCAGCACCGACCATTGGCCATTTACATCAGCAGCAAGTGCAACAGCCGCAGCAGCAACCACCACAGCAAACTTCATCGGAGCGGCAAAATACGCCCCAGCGACAAATACTCGTCGATACGAATGGCCAAATTATAGGCAATTTCCTCGTACAGCACCAACAACAACAGCAGCATCATCAACCGCAACAACAACACTTAGAACACCAACAGCAACTTTTGCATCATGCAGCACAGCAATTTACCTTTCCGGCAGCACAACCTCAAGCCCAACAACAACAACAACAGCAACAGCAGGTCCACACTATAGCACTGTCGACACAACAACATCTGCAGCAGCAGCAGCAGCAGCAACAACAACAACAGCAACAACAACAACATGCACATAAGTCTCATCATGCTCTGTCGACATTACGTAAAGCCATAGAGTTGAGCACGAACGGTCAGCACTACCTAACGCCAGGCGCCATAGCGGCTCAGCAGCATATTGGCCAACAATTGGTGCTACAGCAGCAGCAAGCGCCGCAACAGAGACACTTTCTGACACAGTCACAGGTTCCTACAGTGTCCGCGGCTGCTAATTGCAATATGGTTTCTGCTAGTCCAACTCAGCAGCAGCATCACATTCAAGTGCAACAACAACTTCAGCGCTTTCAGCAGCAGCAGCAGCATCAGCAGCAACAACAACAACAGCAACAGCATATGCCCGCCTTTCAATCATTGGCCACTCAAGCGCAATCAAACGCTGCAAAATATATTTCAAAGCAAATGAACCTTATTACAATGTCTCGTGGCACAGCAGCAGCAGCAGGAACAGTTGCCGGTACAAATGCAAGCATCGCCTCGGTAACTATACCGTCAGGTGCATCTGTGAGTACCTACCCACCTTTTAGTAGCGCCATCGCTGGTTCAGCGCGTTCAGCTGAGCTTATAGTGAATGCTGCCTCCAATATCGGTAATGTAAGTACAACGAATGTCAGCATTGCCAGTGCCATGAAAGGTCTAACACAAGCCGGCATCCCGACCACAATAGCCCAGCAGCGGCCAACAAGTAAATTAGCAACCGGCAAAGGGCGTAAAACGGTAAATAAATTGCCACCCGGTGCAGTTAATTTAGAGCGTAGCTATCAGATCTGCCAAGCAGTTATCCAAAACAGTCCAAATCGCGAAAATTTGAAGGCGCAGTTGCGACCACCGTCGGCAATTTTGAATCAACAGCAGCAGCATCAACCTCCGCAGCAACAACAACAGCAGCAGCTGCCACAAAGTAACGTTGCTACGGCTTTAACATTGCCATGCACAGGAGCCGGAGTAGCCGCGCCGGCAGCAACACAATCAACTGCCGCCATATCTGTAGCAAGTTCGGCACATCAAGCGCCCGCATCAAGCGCCTCTTCATCGCAGAGTTTTATCAAACAAGAGGACCTGACAAGCATTCCCGCAAATATAATGGGCGTTGGACGTCCTGGCGTATATAAGGTAAATTGCCGTACTTGATCAGAGGTGCATTTACACATACACTTCTAAAATGCTCTGCATTGAAATATGTTATCTTATTCGAATTATTTTTTTGCATTGATTTTTAGGTTATTGGTCCGCGAATGGGATTTCCACGTAAGAAGTATGTTCAACGAAAACCTTCACCCACGCTTATAAGACATTTTTTCACACCACAAACGGCCAACGCACTACATACTAATGTTGCGGCAAATCCGCGATTGCATCAGCAATTAACGGTGGCAGCAGCTGCAGCGGCAGCGGCAGCTCAACAACAACAGCAACAACATCACCAGCAACACGATTTGCATCAAAATGGAAATGGTGGTGGTCAATATGTGTTGGTGCATCGAGCAAATGTAGGCGCAGCTGATAATCAGGCACCGCGGGCATCTAGCGCACCGCCGGTACCACAAACAACACAGGTTCGTGAGTGTATAGTCGCATGTTCATTGCCACATACATATATTTAAAGTAGATACCTTATTGTTTCTTATAGAGTCAACTGCACAATATGAATGGAATACCGATAACAGGACGCGGGCGTCCTGCTTCCGTCGATATTGATGCTTCAAATGCAATGCTTGACCATAATGCGCATCAACAACACCAACAGCAACAGCATCTTCATCATCAAATAAATGCTATTAAATCGAATGCCTCTACAACGATGAGACGCAATTTTACATCAGGTATGTTCAATTTTTTCTATTTCATGTTTTCCGTTTTACTTGATATGCCAAAACTTAAATTATGCGTTCACACTTCCAAGATAACAGTGTTGAAATAAGCGTAATAAGTATAGTTTTTTAAACATTTCATAGTGTTTTCCTAGGCAACGGTGCGTGGTTTGATGATTATTAAAGAGATGTAACTCCTATTATGAATTTTCATACGATAGACGATAAACGCTCTTGCAAGCGTATCGTACGAAATCAGTTCTCGTATTGTCGTTTTCATACGCCCGATATTTCGTTGTTTACTTCCATATTTTTACAAATACAAGGTCAGCTGATCGTTTGACACTTTTCATGAACTTACAGGAAAAAAAACTCCGGACTAAATCCTGTAACTTCTGACTAGGAACAGTTGTTCAGTTACTCTCTGAAAAGTGTTCCCAGTTACAGGTTTTATGTCAATAGGAACGACTTCCTGTAAGTTCTGACTAAATCCTGTAAACCGGACTGCTATTGGAACAGACTAATTGTGAACCAGCACAAATCAGGTACGCCAATTATCGGATTTCATACGACAACATCGATTGGTAATAGGGAATAACAGAATGCAAGCGTCTATCGTGCATCATACAAATTCATAATAGGGGGTAAATTAGGTCAGTCCAACGCTTTAGCCAGCTAATCACAAAGCGCAGAAACAGGGCTCGAATCGTCACACACGATATCGTACTACTCGTCACGTAAAAGCACATTTTTCGGACTATGACATACGTAAACGTACTCTTTGTCCCATTATCACGATTTTTGCCCAAATCGCGTTCGTGCGGACCAAAAAATTATCCAACACTCAAAAATTGTGAGAGCAAAGTGACAGTTCTCTTGGAGAGAAGTTGCAAATTCTTGCTGGAAAAAATGTTGCCAGCAAGAATTTGCAAACACGAAAAACATGTGGTTGTGGCGCATGGTTGCATTTTTGTCTACAATAATTTGAATAAATTAGTTCGTTAAATTTAAAAATTTATAAACACGAGCGATTTTTTTATGAAAAAAGGAAGTAAATAATTGTTGATATAATTAATTTAGTTAATTCCAATGATTTGAACTTAATTCGGCTGAAAAAAATGGTATTCGCAATCGGAATGCAATTGCAACCAGAGTCGATTTAAGAAACCCGACAGCTAGTACGATGAAGAAATTGAAAATGAAAGTCAGAACAACAAGAAGTATACATGTATATCCTGTTTTTGGCCATCCGAAAGAATTTTAAAAATTCTATAAAAATTGTTTATGTTTGAAATGCAACCGTGGACACCAGCTGGCAGCGAAACTTGCAAACTCCTGCAAATTTGCGTTCGTGCAGAAATTTGCAAGTTTCTCAACATGAGAGAGAATAATTCGAGACCAGAATGCACAGTGGCATCGGAACTGCTTTGGCTATGTCTTTTTACTTTCAGTTCTATGAACAGTTGATTAATCTTCTATTTAAATCAAAAACACGAAAAAGAAAACATAAGAAAAATGCACATTATAAATATTCCAGAAGCCATTTTATAAACAACGTGGAAATTGTATATTTATATACTTAGCACTTTGTCGTTTTCTGTTGTCCAAACATTTTCATGGATCGAAAGAACAGAAAGCAAAGATATGTTTTATTTTCGGTATTTAAGTTTCTAGCTTGAGAAACGGAGGGCCCCACAGCTTGTGTTTCACTCCCTTGTGAGAGTAGGTTCTAAGGTGATTCCATCCATTGCAGGAGTTGCACCTACCGAAATGGAGTTCGGTTGGAGTCGTTTTTGGCAAACGCTGCAGAAGATTTCTAGCCCGGGGTTCAACTCGATGCCCGCCCGGGGAAGAAAGATGCGGAGCAATCCGGCTGGTTGTTGATGTTGTAACAGCATACAGATTCTCCAAAGAGTTTTTGGGAAGTGTTGCTGGAGGGGCAGCCCTTGCCCAGATAAAAATCTGAGTCGTTCCTGTTACGTAACACGACTGTCGTGACGACCTGTAAATTAAAACGAGCACTCATTAAAGATGAATAAATTGATCGGGTTCGTTGATCTTGGTCCCTTGGTCGGGTAAAACTCAATTCATTTTGGTAATACAAAAGAAAGGTGTGTAAAAAAAAACCTAATGAGTAATAAAATTATAGTTAAAAAAACAACAACACGCTTTTATTACAATAAGAACTAAAAAGAAAAAAAATATTGATTTAAAGATTCGTTAAATAAGGATATGAAGTTCCCTAACTTGATGTTAATTATAATTAACCTTTTAAGCTAGCTTAAAATATGATTAAAGTAATTGGCACGTAGTCATAGTCGAAATAAAGTCCACTGAAAAGTTAGTTGCAGTTATTTTTAACAGGCATCCCATTGGAAACATACAGCACCCCATTGGTAGAGGGCTTCGGGTGTACGAATTTGTTGTAACATCAGGAGTTGAAGACTTGCTCTAGCTGCTATTCTCCTAAAATTTCCTTCAATCACGACGTAAGCAGATTTCCCATGTGAACTTGCTACAAAGTTCAATTCTGCCACTTCCTTGAAGGGATTTTCATGATTTCAGACTTAGTAAAGTTAATATCATTTATTGATATTGTTTTTGTTTTTTACACACCTTTCCTCTTTCAAAAATATACAATTTCATAAAATTTCAATGTCTATTTATCATATTGCTCGAGCGTTAGACGATCTAGAGTCCATACGCATAAGTAGCCCATTACGCCCATTTGGTTACTTAAAGTTGACATTAGGCATGTTTTATTCAACCATCACAAGCAAATAGCTAAATCTTGGTCAAATAAAACGAAATTAGCTTATTTCCTATGTTAGCCTAATTTTGACAATTGTTTGACTGCAAATAGTGTCAAAGTAAGTTTTTGCCTCTTTCTGATTGGCTGAAGGAGAAAATATCTGATGCTGAATGGCAATACCTCTTGTTCAATATACAAGCCAAGATAGCTTTTCATAAGCCAATATAATTATGTTGGGTAAGTCCTCCATACAAAATAAGCTAATAGCTTAAATTTCTGGACAAATAAAACACGGCTATTATAGACAATCGCCCTCATTGCGAGAGCCGTGTCGAATGCAAGTCGTTTTTCGAGAGTCGAATCGTATCTTAAGTTTCACGCCATTGCCTAAAATTTCCACTCGACTAGTGTATTAAAGTGGGAAAACTTGGCAGCACTGTATAGTTTACGACGATTTTCGTCGTTTACTTATTTCAGCACGGCTGTATACAATGCCAATATTGTCGAGTCGTACAATTGAGCCTAATTTACGACTTACGCAATGAGGCTGAATGTTTTTATGTAAAAATAAAAATTAAAAAAAAAATGCTATAATCAAAAAAAAATCAAAAAGAAAAATCTTTACTTAATTTTTTTTTGTTTTTTATACGCTGCACATTAATGCAAAAAATGTACAATTAAAGCCCATAATTAGACGGAAGAAATACATTTCCAAGATACAGTACTGCACTACAGCATACCACTACAACAACAACAACTTCATACTTTGGTAGATTATGCCGAGAGATCAGAAGTCTGCACAAACTGCCCACTAGTGCACCACTTGCTGGCGGCCATCGGACGGGCGAAAGCCTCCAAAGCCATTGGACCAGATGGAATTTGCATACTGGTGCTGAAAAATTTGGGTCTGGCGGAAATAGAATATCTCACAAAGATTTTCTACTTGTTTATGGACATTGTACTTTTTCCTGCGTGTGGAAATTGGGGGGGAATGGTGGCGTTGCCGAAACCGGGGAAGCCAGCTAACAAATTGAAGGGCTTCTTCTTTCGCTACCCATAGAACGCCTTCCAGAAGGGCTTTTAGAGGACGTACTTCAGAAGGCCTTTTGGAAGGGTTCTTTTAAAGTTGCTTCTTTAATTTATAAAAATCATACAACTTTGAAGTATTTGCTTAAGCTTTATATCAAATATGTGTTATTGCAACTTAAAATGTTTATTGAAACTAATGCTAAATATTCAACAATTTTTAATAAGCTTGAGGCCGTTTTTAATAAAAAAACTTATTGTGGAAAAGCAACAATAATGTGAAAAAATGGTAGAAGTGATAGCTATTTCGGAAATTACCACATTTCCTCATCAGACTTCTTTCAGTAGGATTCGAACCGACGATCCCACTGACTCAGCCAGTTGCCTACGCACTGTGCTAAGTTCGCCTTGTAAATTATCGTTGCTTTTTTCCACTTTTTCACACACGATCAACACAACACAATCAAGCGCAGCTATTCGAGAGAAAGATTTACGGACCTTTACGCGTTAGTGATGGCGAATATCGCAGACGATTTAACGATGAGCTGTATGAGCTTTACAACGATATAGACATAGTGCAGCGAATTAAAATTCAGCGGCTCCGCTGGCTTGGCCATGTCGTTCGAATGGACAGAAACGCTCCTGCTCTGAAAATATTCAACGCGGGCGGCGATGTTGTTAACAGAGGAAGAGAAGGGGCCTCCTCTGCGTTGGAAAGAACGGGTGGAGAAGGACTTGGCTTCACTTGGCATTTCCAATTGGCGCCAGTTAGCACAGAAGAGAAATGACTGGCGTACTGTTTTGGACTCGGCCTTAATCGATTAGGCGGTTACAGCGCCAATAAAGAAGAAGAAGAACCGCCTAAGCGGTTTTGGCCGAGTTCCACAAATCACGCCAGTCGTTTCTCTTCTGTGCCAATTGACGCCATTTGGAAATGCCAAGTGAAGCCAAGTCCACCTAGTCTTTCCATCGCAGTGCGGGCCTCCCTCTTCCTCTGCTACCACCAGCGGGTTCCGAGTTGAATACTTTCAGAGTTAGAGCGTCGGTGTCCGTTCGAACAACATGGCCAAGCCAGCGGAGCCGCTGTATTTTAATTCGCTGCACTATGTCCATGTCGTTGTAAAGCTCTTACAGCTCATCGTTCCATCATCTGCGGTACTCGCCGTCGCCAACGCGTAAAGGCCCGTAAATCTTCCGCAAAATCTCTCTCTCGAATACTCCAAGGGCCGCCTCATCGGTTGTTGTCATTGTGCATGCTTCTGCACAGACATGATGAGTGGCTTACAGAGTGTAGTTTTCGTACGTCGAGAGAGGACTTCACTCCTGAATTGCCTACTCAGTCCAAAGTAGCACTTGTTGGCAAGAGTGATTCTGCGTTGGATTTCCACGCTGACATATTATCGGTGTTAATGCTGGTTCCCATTAAACTGAACTCTACTTTCTCGAAATTATAACTGTCAACAGTGACGTGGGTGCTGACTGTTTGTTTTATGACAGGAGAAACTTCGTCTTGTCCTCGTTTACCACCAGACCCATTCGCTTTGCTTCCTTATCTAACTTGGAAAAGGCAGAACAGACTTCGCGGTTTTTGTTACCGATGATGTCGATGTCATCGACATAAGCCAGCAATTGCACGCTTTTGTAGTAGATTGTTCCTGAGCGGTTCAGTTCTGCAGCTCTTATTATCTTCTCCAACATCAGATTAAAGAAGTCACATGAGAGGGTGTCGCCCTGTCTGAAACCCCGTTTTGTGGCGAACAGCTCGGAGAGGTCTGACGGAGCTCATTTTACACAGTCGTATCTGTTTGGCGGGGATGCCAAATTCAGACATAGCGGCGTATAGGCAACTCCTTTTAGTGCTGTCGAAAGCGGCTTTAAAGTCGACAATAAGGTACAATCAGTTCGTTGACGGTGTGCTTCAGTCTTTCGCACAATACACTCGATAAGACCATATAACCTATGCTTAGGAAGCTGATCCCGCGGTAGTTGGCGCGAATAGCGGAGTGGCTTTTCTTGTGGATGGGGCAGAGCACACTTAAATTCCAGTCTTCGGGCATGCGTTCGTCTGACCATATTCTGCATAAGAGTTGATGCATGCACCTTATCAGCTCCTCGCCGCCGAACTTGAATAGCTCGGCTGGCAGGCCGTCAGCTCCAGCAGCTTTGTTGTTTTCAGCCGCGTAATCGTTATTCGTGCCTCGTCATAGTCAGGCGGTGGGACAGCTACTCCATCATCATCGACTGGGGGGGTTCGTCTTCTTCACTACTTTCAGCGCTGCTACCATTCAGTAGGTTGTAAAAGTGTTTCCTCCACAATTTAAGTGCATTCTGGACATCGGTCACTAGGTCGCCATTGTTGTTCTTGCAGGAGCTCGCCCCAGTCTCGAAACCTTCCGTAAGTCGCCTAACCCTCTGGTAGAATTTTCGGGCGTTCTTCCTGTCGGCCAGCATCTCAAGCTCTTCACACTCACCTATTTCGGCCTCTCTCTCATTGCGGCAAATACGTCTCGCTTCCCTCTTCAGTTCCCTATAGCGGTCCCATATAGCGCGTGTTGCGCCAGATCGCAGCGTGGCCCTGTAGGCGGCATCTTTTTTCTCTGCAGCTTCCTGACGCTCCTCATCGTACCATTTGTTCCTTGGGGCTCGCTGAAATACGACTACTTATTTGGCGGCGGTACTTAATGAGCGACAGATGTGGTTCCACTGCTCGCATATGTCAGTTTGTTGAAGAGTTCTCTCTGAGAGCAGGTGTGAGAGTCGAGTAACGAATGTATTGGCTGTCTGTTGTGATTGCAGCTTTTCGACGTTAAGCTCTCCTTGCATATTTGGGCACACATTTTTTACTGCATAGAGGTGGGTGCGTATCTTGGCTGCAACAAGATAGTAGTTGGTCATCGGAGTGTACCTACGTCTAAAACACTGGAAGCGTGACTTCCGTCTACCGCAACATGATCGATTTGGTTTCTCGTTTTTCGATCCGGAGACAGCCAGCCAGAGTCAAGTCCTTTACTCGAGGTGATTTGGGGAACGTTAATTTTTCAAAGAAATATTTGTAGGCCTTATCCGTCATGGGACGAAAAAGGAATATACAATTTCTAGTTTTAAGATATGCAGAAATTCCGCAGCCAAGTAGGAGCGTTCTCCAATCCGAAATATGCTCATATTTTGCTAGCCCAAACACATAGCGCGTGATGTGGTTAAATACTTTATATATCCATTTTGTGAGCTAATAGGGAATCTAACCTGTAGACTACTTCAGAATAACAGATAATTGACAATATGAGTTGGATTTTGAGTTTACGTCAGATTTCTATCTGTGTGAATCGAGCAGACATTCGTAAATCCCTTGAAGTATTAGTGGTATTCACCAAATTGAGCAACTGGCCAGGCACTCGGGAAAAGAGCAGGTGAGCTCAAGCATCGACTGACTTTTGCCAGAGTGCCAGGACACTTGCTCAATTTGGTGAATACCTATATTCTAGACTTTGCTTACTGTTGAATTCACATGGCCAATGCAGGTTAGTTACTACTGCTGGGTTAAGACGTTTCTTACATATAGGTAACACAAAACACAACTAAGACGAAGACCATTTAGCAGTGCCCAGGGCCTAATAGACATCACTTCCCTGTAGAAGCCTGCACACTAATTAGCTGAGTGCTTAAGCGGACCTGACATAGAGCTGGACATCGTCCGCATTGGCAAGCATATTGGCGTGCATAGCATGGCGTGTCATTAACAAACAAATTAAACAACAGTGGTCCTAAGATTGATCAAAGAATGTGTGGCACCGGTAAACAATGGTCGTAGTTCAGATATTTGAGATTCAACCTTGACACGCTGAGACCTCTTTTTCAGATAGCTATGCATCAGTTCCACTGCTGACTTTCCAAATCCAGAGTAATTTTTAAAAGTAAATCCCTGTACTCTGTATGGCTAGAAGTTTGAATGAATTCATGCAGCCCTCTAATATGTATGCATGTATATTTTAAAGTTACTTTTTTTCATTCTTCTATTTGCAGGCAACGTTGCGTATATAGATAATCTAAGTGGTGCGACAACTTTGGCCGATGGCAATTATATAGTTACAGCAACAAACGCTGGATCGCTGGATGCCGAACAATTGGTAAGCAAGGCCGTTACCGTAGCCGCTGCCGCTGCTGCCGCCGCTGCTGCAGCTGGTGGTGGAGGCGGCGGTGTAGGTGGTGGCAGTGGGAGTTTCACCCGAACACCAGAAGCGGACAATTGTGCCTGCTCGTTAAACGCAATGGTTATTTGCCAACAATGTGGCGCATTCTGTCATGACGATTGTATGAGTGCATCGAAGGTGTGTGTCTCTTGTGTGATCAGATGAGAGGATGAAGTCTCTGTAATAACCTTTTAGGCCTTGCGCACATTGAGTAGAAGTTATTGTGGTTCTGCACTAAACAAAATACAACAATAGATATACATATAAATATAAATATATATAAATAGATATATAGAATATACGTAGATATATTTACACCAATATATCAACTAAAACACGAATTCTGAATTCTACGAAAAAAAGCAACAGCAAAAAGCATAACATAAATAACTCAAATTACCAGTTGGCAAATGCATAAATATGTATGTAAAAAAAAAAAAAGAAGTTGCTCTGCTAAAAATGCTTTATGCAAATTTACGCTGAAGTCCAAGCACATATGTATTGCTACCGTTCTTTTCCATCATGCGATGAGATAGATGTTAGCGCTTGCACATTAGGTTCGAGAAGCTTAACATTACTTGATTTTTATTTTTACATATATTAGTGGGTTAAAGGTAGAAAATATTCGAGCACATCAACTCGGAGTTATGGTGAAACAGCTAATTCAATATTCAAAATCTGTAATGGAAAAAGTTCAACTTAATTAGCATATTGAGCCATGAATTTAATGCTGCTGCATCTTTATTTCAAGCTTCAAACTCGTATGAATTCAAAATTTTCTTAATTTAGTATAATAATTTTTTTAGTAACCAATTTAAATCGTTATTTGTTTTTTAGGCATCAAGATCTTTCCTTCGAAAATTTTAGGACGAAATTGTTACATAATACATGATAAAACGAGTTATTCTGCAGAAATCGTTTTTTGAATTGTGACAGCTTTCTATTTTTTATTTAATAAGCGACAATTAGTACAATATTCTTAGTGATATGCTGAGTCGGTACTTTTAAAGTATTGATCCATACTCGGTACCGATTTGGAAAGTATCCGATACATTCGGTACTCGGTACCGAAATATTGGAATTTATAATAAGACTCACAAATATGGGAAAAAAGCTGTTAAGTGATCGTTGAAGTTTCTATGAATCTCATTAATCTATGGTTAAAAAAATCTATTTCTCCACATTGTTTGGATCTGAACGCTCTCGTCGCTCGATTAATATCTTCCCCATTTTTGAAAGTTTAGAAAGGTTCGCTTGGAACGGTCGTCGTAACAATAATAATATTTTAGCGCTTACACTTTTGCTAAGTATTTGGCCGACCTTCACTTCCAATTTGTGGTGTGTGTCTTGATGTTATATTCAAATTAGACAGAAATACACTCAACTGTTAACCGGACCAGGGATCGCACCCTGTCGCCGTAAGTATTACGAATTAATAATGTTGCCACAAGAACTGTTGCAGTTGCTAAGACAGTTGCGATAAGTTCAAGAAGGCTCAAATACTAACATACATATTGCTCATCTTCTGAGAAAGCATCGTCTTGATTTGTAGGCTTTTTTTTGCTTTGACGATGTCATATAAAATTGCAACGACATTTTTTTCTGCAAACTTCAAAAGTATGTATATTATGATGAAGGTTTAATGTATCGAATCGGTATCGGGTACCGAAAAGAAAGTATTGGGTACCGAAATTTTTTTCAAGTATTGGGTACCGACAATTCAGCACATCACTAATAATCCCCCGAGTATCGAAACTTTGAAGTCTTTTTAAGAAGGATTGCTGGCGTGCTTGTGGCATAAGTTTTGGCTAGTATTGGACGAATATAAATTCGGCGGGATTGTCGTAATAGGTGTCTACGTCACAAAACAATCCGAACTTGGTATTGCTTAATTTGTTTCTATACATACAGTATTGGACATACAGATGCGTGCAACTAATTAACAACGACATGTCTCTGTAAGATCTATGATCTCTTCTGTATAATACTCAACACCTAAATTGAAAATTTTTGCTAAAACTCCCTTTTTGGAAAGTATATTTAGATTCAGCTGTCAAAAAAATTTCAATACAGCTCCCCCATTCTGAAAAATTGCAATTTTTATGCAAACTCGGCAAAAGATCGTGCGACACTAAATAACAACGCTCTGTTTGTATGTCCTTTTTAAGTCAATATTTGGTTGCAAATCCATTACTATCAATCACGGCTTAACATTTGCGAGGCATTGACTCCACTAAACTTTTTGGAAATGTCCTGTGGAATAGCATCCCACTCTTGTTTAACGTTTTCGTACAAGTCCTGGAAGTTTCCAACTTTATGAGAACGAACCCTTTTCTTCAAATGTGTCCAAAGGTTTTCAATAGGGTTCAGGTCTGGACTACATGAAGGCCAGTCTACGAGGGTCACCATTTTGTCCTGAAACCATTGCTTTGTAGTCCGCGTGGTATGTTTAGGATCATTATCCTGTTGATAGATCCATGTAACGGGCATGTTGACATCAGTATATGGTAACATCACGTTGTCCATGATTGTTCTGTACTTGAACTGGTCCATGTGGTCATCTATTTTGTAAATAGGACCAAAACCACGCCACGACATGGCACCCCAAATCATTATGTTGCCGTCACCATGTTTTAATGTGGATTTGGTATACCTAGGGTTCAGCTCCTTGCACTTTGGTCTGCGGACATAGCTTTTCCTGTCTGAAGAAACTCGTTTGTAGTCCAGTTACGGTATTTCCTGGCAAACTTTAATCCATTTCTTCGATTGCGTTCGTGGGATAACGGCTTTTTCCTTGAACATTTTCCAAAGAGTCCTGCTTCACGTAAGCGTCTTTTTATGGTATCCACAGTTAGCGCTCTCTCATTTTCTCCGAAAACTGCAACTCGTATTTGATTCCCCGTCTTGTGGGGATCCGTTTTCGACTCGCGCACAATCAACTCGTCCTCCCGCGTAGACGTTTTTCGTGGTGGTCGTGGTCGTGGGACTTGCTTTGTAATTTTATTTTTAGTGAAATATTGTACTGCATTGAAAGCTATCCATTTTGAAATATTTAGGGCGTTTGCAATATCACTGTAAGATTTCCCACCCTGGCGCATCTGTACGATAATAGCTCTAGTTTCCTCCCAACACTATTTGCGCTTAGCCATTTTGTTTTCAACTAAAGTTCATTATAAATAAACTATTTTGGTAAAAATATAAAAAGACTTACCGTAATTCAATTAATTCGCAAAAATCTTAAGAATTTAACTCGCATTGCTAATTAAATGCACGATAGCTTTAGTCAAATTTGCATAAAAATTGCAATTTTTTCAAAATGAGTGATTTTTTTTTAATTTTTTGACAGCTAACTAAATCTAAGTATACTTTTCAAAAAGGGGATTTTAGTAAAAATTTCCAATTTGGGTGTTGAGTATTATATAGAAGAGATCATGATAAAAATATAGCAAGGTAGAACCGTTCTCTCAATTTGTCGGCCATGATTTTTTTTGAAGTTTGCCAACATTTTAAAATCATATAAAAGTGAAAATAAAAAAATGAAATTGTTTGAAAATGTTGTTGCTTGAGATTGAAAATGAAAATGTGTGTGTGAGTTTGCGAGTAAATTTAAAAATCAAATTGTTTGGAAACGTCAAGAATTTTAAAAGTGACTCTCAGCGGTTCTACCTTACTATATTTTTATCATGGAAGAGATCATGAATCTTACAGGGACATAGTTCCACGCATCTTTATCCATGGCAACACCAAAGTGATATTGTTTGCCACTTATGTTTAATTATTTAATTTTAAGACTTTTCAATTAAAATACAGTTCATTGCCTAACAAAACTCATATAAACCAAAGTTTCAATCTTTTTAAAAGGCTACAAAAAATTCAACAAATTTGCACCCAAATTTCAAATTTTTTTCTCAGAAGTGCTGGAATTTTTTTAGTGAAAATGTGTTGCATTTTTTTGTAGTCGTTTAAAAAGTATTAAAATGTGGTTATATGAGAATGTTTGTTAGAGAATGAACTGTGTTTTAATTGAAAATTCCTAAAAATAAATAAATATGAGAAGCTTTATTGTGGAAATGCGTTCCAAGGTTTCTAATTGGCTGTCGATGTGTGACCGCTATTAGAAAAGGTTTTTTTTTCCTTTGTCGAAGTGTGACCGTTATTAGAAAACGCATTTTTTGCTTTGTTTGATGTTGTGCGGATCAAGAATATCACCTTGGTCCTACCGGTTGAAAGTCCGCGGCTCTAACCACTCGTTTATGGTGGCCGCATTAAGTAATATTTAGTATAAAACTCTGCGCAAAATGTTTTGAGGTGCAAGCTATCTCCAAGAAATAAAAATATACATAACTAAATTAATCAGAGAATTGTCTCATTTTTCAATTTAAACTATTATATAAACTCATTCTGCCTTAACAAATATGCATTTATTAAATTGTGTTTAGCAGTTCATCTCTACATTTAAACAAATATCAGAATTATTTCAAATTGTAAAAAATTTTGAGTCTAAAAATGCAGCTTTCTTGCGTTTTTTACAATTAGTTATTTTGAACTGAATTCCCACAGCACAAACTAATATTTACGAACTCTACGTTTCTATGTAGCTTTTTGGATTCATTGATAGCATTTTCTTATACAAAATTTTGATCATGTGTTATAGGAAGAAAATGCGCAACACCCTCCACAAAAAAAAATTCTAAAAAATCAACGGTAATGTTTAGCGACTTGAAACTTGCACTCTATTATACTAAAATTGAATGGGCTACAAAACTGCATATCCCAACATTTTCTATATATTCTAATTAAAAATTTTGAAATTTTGATGACGATTTTTTTAAGTTTGATTAATTTTTTTGCAATTTGTGCAAGCTTTGCAGCTTTTGTTATTGTGGTTTCTGTTCTGATTGAATTATATTTTAAATGAAAATTATTAAAAATAAATAAATAAACATAATTTGCAAGCAATATCGTTTTGAATTTCGTTGCTAATTAGTTTCACGCATCTGTACATACATATTTCATAAATATCGAACCTACTATTGATTACACACGATTGATTTCGACGTGCTGAGTCTAAATTCGGAGTTATAATTGCTCTGGCGAATCCGGTTTTCTAGATATTTTAATCAAAATGTTCAAAAACCGAGGTTTTTGCGTACATTTGAGCTTATGTAGCATCGCGACTTCTTTAAAAAAAAGAAGAAAAACAAGATTTCTTATTTTGAATGTCCCGTTGAGTTTTCTCCAATATACATATATGGGTCTTCTTTTATCGTCGGGATATTGAATTTTTACCGCACTCGGCCAAGCCCGGAGTCACGCAACGACAACGTGGCGGAACTCATGCAGTGAGATATTTTTTAATTCATCGTTTTTTGCACTTTTAATTTAAATTATCTCGGATACCTGAGCCGCCAAAGCAGTTTTGACACCGGATTTGGATTCAGCACGTCGAAATGCTTTGAAAAAGTGAACTCTGGTTTCTGGTAAAATATCTTCGCTTAATTTTGTCGGCCTGTGCTATTTAGCCGCGTTTATTGAGATATCTGAGACGAAAATAGTCGAATGTTCTACAGTTCCACATGGTTCTAAAAAGTTAAATTCTATTCAAGAATACTCTTCTCAAAGGAACAAGAATAAAACTGTTTCGAA